ATACCTCCAACAAATCAAACAAAAATTCGTAATGAATAACAGATATCTGTGCTATTTAAAACGACAAAGATGTCGGCCAACTTACTGCCAACTGTTATGGTTTGTTCCTGAAAAGAGAAATTCCAAATATTGTCATTGGTGCTACTGATTACAATGGCCTGCCATCTATGAATAATAATCACAGGTAACAGCGTAGCATTATTATATTCTTCAGTTTCATTTTAATTCATTTACATTTAAATATACATAGTGCGGTTCAAACCTTCCCGGACTGAATTTTTTACCGCTTTTTACCAACGTCATCTTCCGGACCGAGGTTTAACTACGTAGTAGAGACTCTTTCTGACAAGGGTGCGAAGTGGCGTGTGTAGTGGCAGGTGTTGTTTGGTGCAAGATGTTCTTGTTGCGGTGTCAAGGTCGTGAGATGGATGCGAAGGAGGAACAACGTGTGGCGATTAAATTTTGCTGTAAAGCCAATATTTCGGCTTCAAACACTGTGGAGCTGATTCAGAAGGCTTACGTGATGCAACGGTAAGCCGAACAACAATTTTCGAGTGGCACAAACGGTTTCGAGAGGGTAGGGAGTCACTGAAGGACGACAAGTCGAACCGATAACAACATCGCCGCCGTCGCCAAAATGGTTCAAGAAGATCGAAAAGTGACGTCTCGGTTAATAGCAGACACACTTCGCATCCCGAAAACAGTGGTTCTACGGAATTTAAGCGAAGATTTGCGAAAACGAAAACTGTATGTTTACATTTTCTCAATTTTTAATTATTTTCTCATCTATTACTAGTTGTAATAATTCACACGAAAATATCTGGCGCCATAATTCAAACCCAACAACGCACAAAACCATTTTCTTGTATGTCAGTAATTTCAATTTAACTTGGTAGATGTTTAGTCTTCCAAACATACAACACTTTTCATGAAGCCAAATAAATACAATAATGATTTACATACAAAGTAGCGTAATTACAGGAGATCCACCTCCCACTAAGGCTAAGATTAGAAAGAAAAAGGTGTTTGATCTGTCCACAGAATAGAATTTATTTGCATTACATAGATCATTCATAGGCCTAAGCATATATAGAATACTTGTTTGTAGTACAAATATATATACATAGTTATAACAGCTATTTACAGATTTTTTGGAACTACAGTATTACAGCAAAATAATTATGAAAAATAATCACCATAGTTACTTACATGTATTCAAAATTCTTCTACTGAGTAGAAGGAGCGAGATAGGAGATACGCTTTTAACGTTGGCTTAAACATTTTTATTTTCTGATTTAAACTTTTGATAGTAGGTGGAAGATTATTGAATAACTTTATTCTAGAATAGTAAACTCCTTTTACTGAGGTTAGAATTTGGCACGTGAAGGTTGTATCTGTATCTTGTTCTTGTATTGTGGATATCTGAAATTGTTTGAAATTTTTCCATGTTATCCACTACAAATAATAATAGTAAGAGCAAGAATTCACGGGATACTGGAAGAATGTTAAACTTGTTAAATAATTCCCTACAAGAGGCTCTCCTTTTAGTGCCTGCCATTATTCTAATAATCCTCTTTTGCTGTCTGTTGAATTTCCCCAGAAAATGATTCCATAAGATATGATGGAGTGAAATTAAGCAAAGTAAACTAATTTTAAAGTTTCTGTTTTCATCAGTGCTGCAACTGACCTCATATCAAAACATGCCGAGCTTCGTCTACAGATAATGTACTGAATAAGTGTTTACAAGTTTAATTTGTTGTCAATTTGTAGGCCAAGAAATTTCCTTGATTATTTTATCATCATACCCCATATTTAGATTTACACAATTTTTGTTGTTGGTACAAAATTTCATGAAATTTGTTTTGTCAAAATTGAATGTGAGTTTATTATCTTTAATCCATTTGTTCAATCTAGTACAGACATCATTTATGCAATTTTGAAAACAGTCAGTTTCCGGATGTGAAATAATAACATTAGTATCATCAGCAAAGTGTATAGTTTTAGACTGAGAGTTGATGGTTGAGGGCAGATCATTGATATATATGAGAGAAAGCAGAGGACCAAGTATTGAACCCTGAGGCACCCCATGTCTTACATCGCCCCAATTTGAATAGGTGCTAACATTTGAATTTGATGATTTTATTTCTACTCGTTGCTTTCTGTCATGAAGGTACGATTTAAACCACTGACCAGCTATATTTAGTTTTGATAGTAATAATTCATGATTTACAACATCACAGGATGCCATTTGTAATTTAGTGCACTTAAGATTTCATCTGTAAAATTGAACAGGGCATTATCAGTTGAGAGATTTTTTCTAAGTCCAAATTGTTCTCCTGCAAAGACATTCGAGTTTCACAAGAGCAAGGACAATATAACAGTTGTCCCAACTTTGTGTGTCATATTATTTTAGAAATATTGGCACTATATCCAATTCGGTGGAAGAATATTTGGTTTAGTATTTGTTGTTGTGGCAACTATCATCGTAATATCATCAAAGACAATTTTTTTCCTCTCCTCCAAGGAATGATTCATCAAAACAGGCTCATTGTACTGGTTTTCTGTGCCATTACAAACATTCTACCAAAGTTAGACTTGTTTTAGTTATACTAGTTAAACATATTTAATTATCTTATAGATGTATTTTTAATTAACATAACTAAAATTAACATAACCTAAAACTGGTTGTTATTGTTACCTAAGCAGAATACGTTTATCACAATTCTTGCACTGCACGGAATGAAGGTGTCAATATAAAAAGATTTTGTGCAACATTATTTCACAGTTGTGCATTTTCTCTTTAGAGGTAAGGACACAATGTACAAGAACCTATGTCTTTCTAAAGGCAAAATGGAATGCTCTATATAGTCTAATAGCATACTAGCAGATTATTTAGTTATGTAATATAAACGCAGAGGCTAGAGGAAAAATCCTCTGCCCCCGTCGGGGATCGAACCCCGGCCGTCCAGCCTGTAGCTA